ATCAATTTATATACTTTATAGATACCATGAATAAGTTGACACACACGATGTATTTTGAACGAACTGTTCACGATCGTAAAATATCGCATTAAAAACCGAAAGATGCCCTTTCGTTCAATATAAAATTTGAAGACGTAATTTGCTCAAAAACGATTGAAAGAAAGAATGCTTGAATTTCTAAGGGCATTGAAAATCAATGAGGGAAACGCATTCTACGCAAATAGCCCCTTTTTGTAAAGACTATACTGTTAGCAGTTGATGCGAAGGAAGCTCGTCCAAACAATAGCGTTTTCACGCAACTGAAATATCAGCCTTACAACTCTACTTCAGCAATTCGTTCGAATGGAAAACACACTTCAGAATTTCGGTGGACACTTCAGGAGATAGGGAATCTACTATATCGTGTAGTTCAATTCATTAAGGGCGGGCTTTGCGTGACCCCCACAAGAGCACTCCCCAACGAAAGAGCTCGTCTTAGTTTTCTCCAGCCAACTTCAAAGGTTCCGTCACTGTTGGCCACATTTTATTCCGGCACTGGCAAGACTGAACATCAACATAAATCCTGATGGTCGCGTGAGAATTGCCGAGCATGCCCCCACCCTTTTCCTGATCGGATCTTCCTTCGACCTGTTTACAGTGAATGCAGCCTGTTGACTCCCAGGTGTGCATGTCTGCTTGTTTATAGACAGTCGCCCTACTAACTCTGACAGGATCAATATGCGCAGTCCTGGTGCCTCGTGTTTCAGCCGTTTTGTGGTGACACGCGGATCTATTCTTCGTCGTTAAGGCGTGGTCGGAGTTATGCGCGTGCGTGCGTGTATGTGCGGCTTTCTAAAATAAACAGCCCGATCTTGCCCGCTTTCGGGTCAGCCTTTCACATATGACCCGACACACACACACGCGCAGACGGTAGTTGCCATGGCCTCCTAGCGGTATTTGCACGATCTGGTCCCTCTAGTTCCGCGTAGCTCGCCCCCCGCACACTGTAGTCCTCCTTTAGCCCCTTTTATGATTTTTGCGGACACCGAAATATGACACCG